GCGCATCTATAATCCCAGAACTCTCGGGGGGGGGGGGGCGCGGGGCAGGAGGATGGAGACCTGAGAATTGCTGGCAGCTTGCTAGGCCTGCTAGCCTTTAGCATGCAGTGCAGTACAAACAAGACAGACCTTGCCAGCTTAGCATGGGGGCACAAATCTGTTATCTCAGCACTCCGGAGGCAGAGCAGGTGGATCTCTGTGCAGCTGAGACCAGCTAGGTATACACAACGAAGACAGGGTCTCAATAATAAAAGGGAGAGACTCTTTCTCAACAAAGTGGAAAGTGAGAACCGACTGGCAAGTTATCCTCTGACCTGCACACTGATGCTGAGGCACACCTCCACACAGAGATAAAAACAAACAAACAAAAAACCAAAAGGAGAAGCAGGTTCAACTGTCGAATAATGGCTGGACTATAGCTCAAGAGAGTGTTTGTCCAGCATACGCGAGTTCCTGCATGCAACCCCAACACTGGGAAAAACACATATTTATATATACTTGCATATGTGTGTGTGTGTTTGCCTGTATGTGTGTAGTACAAATATAAAAGGCTATATTATGTGTCACTTATATATACTGCTGGCTTTGAAACTTAATGTAATTATTGTAATTAGGAACAGAAAAAAGAGACACTTAAACTTAAATGCAGCCTACTGTGCTCACAGTGGTTACAGCCAGATGGTAGGACTGTGGGCAGTGTCACTTATTTATTTCCTTGTGTTCCACTGTTTGCTGACTTTCCTTATCAGCACGAGCTCTTCTTATTAGCAAGGAAAACCACACCGTAAAGATCTCAAATGTTTTGGGCAATTACACAAACACTCTGGACTATTTTCATTAAGAGGTTTTCTGCAGACCCCTTGTAAGTTGTCTCTAAATGATTCCTAGAAGATTTATATGTATGCTTTTGAAAATAATTAAACAACATAGGCATCGTCCATAAAAACAAAAGCCTACCTATGCTCATATCGCTCAAGCCCACCCCACTATAAATGCATCGTCCTTAATTCAAAATTCTGCAAAATCCTTCATGTGGATACAGAAACCCTGCCTAACTGTCCGTTTCATGCATATTTTATTCAGGTAGACGACAATGTGCAAACTATTATAAACTTCGGTCACCTCTACATCAATGCCCCAGGGTGTTTTGCCCTTTTATCTTTTGCATTGCTCAGTGCAAGGATCACTTGCCTCCCTCGTGCTAGGCAAGTACTCTACCACTGACCTACATCCTCGGTCCTCATCTCACCTTTTATTCTTGAGACAAAGTCTCCCTAATGGTATCCTCCTGCCTCAGCCTCCTGAACAGCTGGGATTACATCAGGCCTGCTGTGCCCTCTTCTGATGGCTCTGGCGTGTGTGGTGAGGCTGGAATTCCCTCACATTTCTCTTGCTCTTTCCCTTCCGGATGGGTGGCTGAAATACCCTCACATAGGACCCTACCTCCCACCCAGGAAGTCTCTCTAAGGAGACATTGTGGATGAGCCTGTTGTTTAAGAACTATTACTTATTTTTGAGTGACATGAATTTATTGCTTATGTTTGAGTGTGTGTACATGCACATGTTTGTGTCAGCGAATAAGCAAGGAGGTCAGAGAACAACTTGCAGAAGAGCTCACTTGTCTCCCTGTACCATGTGGGTTTCTGAGATGGAACTCGGGTTTTAGGCGTGGTGGTTAAGGCGTTTACCCGCTAAGCCATCTCGCTGGCTCAGTGAGTGAGCTTTCTAAAGAATACTGTGACTTTTAGCATCTGGTGCTCTTAAGAAAACTTCACAGATTGCTGAGTTACTGACCAATTTTCTAAATGACACTGACCCCTTGAGGTCACAGACTGAGGAACCTCAGTGGCCATCTGGAGAAGGTCCTTTATATCACAGGGAGACTGGAGGTTCCAGGGAAGAGCCTCTACCTCAGTAAGGGCTGAGCCAGAACTCATGCCCCTACTCCACACCTTCTCACCTGTCCCACACTGTGAAGGCTGTCATTGGAAGCCCACAACCATGGATTCTAGAACCTTCCCTCTGAGCCAGGGGGCATGTCACAGGGTAGCCTTCTTCAAACATGTCACAGAATGGGGATTTAGGTAATTTGCTTCATTAAGTGACTCAGCTTCACCACATGTGAGCGGCTGGTACTGTCCCAATGGAGGCAGTAGGAGCCTCTGAGCAGCCAATCCTTATAGAACCCAGAAAAAGTAGCCTCCCTCTTCCAAACTCTAACCTCCACTCCTCCCAAGAGCCCAAGCTGATGCCCTCCCACCAGCAAGAGCCAAATCTTCTAGGTCCCAAAACAGAGAACGCCCTTCCTTTGAGGGCACCTGGCATGTTTCTGCTCCCCACACCATCTCCACAGACAAGTGTCTAGAAGACAGGGTCTCAGGGTCATCCTCGGGCTACATGAGAACCAACTGAGGACTCACCTGAAGTCACACAGCAAAAGGCCACACTCAAATGGCAGGAGCCAGAGGGCCATCACACAGGCAGTCCCTGCAGCAGCTAGAGGTGGCTGTCAACCCCCACACCTCCTCCGGGAAGGAATAAAGCTGGAGTAGGATGCACTCCCTAAGCATCAGTCTACACTGGTCATGCTCAAGGCTGCCAAGTACAGAAGAAGGACATTCCAGAGTCGGAGTCATTCATTCAACAAATACTTGGAGTTTATCCATCGTATAGATTTCATTCAACCATTCAACAAATACTGATCTTCTTCTCCCAAGCGCCTTCATCAGCCTTCAGGACCCTCCCTGCTCTCCTCCTACCCTCGGCTCCTCCCCTTTGCCTCACACTCCCAGTGTCCTGTTGGGACTCTTCCCCACTCCCCTTCCCAAAAGCACTTGTGTCTGGGATCACTGAGAAGTGGCCCAAACCAGAAGACAAAGCACGGCGCAACTCTCCGGAGATTACCTGGTGTAGCCCCGACAATAGAGTATGAGTCTGTCCCACAGAGGCCGCTGAGGATCTGACACTGGCCTAGGGGGCTCACTCCCCTCCCCCACCTTGGCCTCCACCTAGCAGCGGCATGGAAAACCCTACCGGCTCAGCTGACTTCCTCTTGTGTCATGGAAAGTACCGGTGTTAGGACAGGAAACTGTCGCCTGGAATCTGAAGTCTGAGCCAGCATAGAGCCTGGGTCCTGGAGGGATGCGACGGACAGAACCACCGTGGGCAATTACTAGGGGGACGGTGTGGGAAGGGGCTAGGGGCTGCAAGGGGAACATAGACCCGGGAGTGGCAGGACGCATCACGAAGGTTCTCGCAGGTACACAGCTAGCTCCTAGGGCAATACTTTCAGTTTTCTACAAAGAATGGAACACAGTGGAAGCCGCCTAGATGGCCCTCACGCCTGTGAAGGGGAAGACTGGAATAAGCCTAAAGCCTTTGATAAAGAAGAAATAGTAGAGGAGGATGTCAGTTTTCTCCGGGTGAGACTTGAGGCTGCATTCCATCCCCGTGCTGGCTGATGCCATCCCTCCTGGCTGGACCGCTGAGTTCTTCCCAGCTGCTCTCTGTAAACTGAGGGAATAGGCTATGAAGGACACTTAGGAAATAGAAAAGAGAGCTGGGGATATAGCTCTGTTGGTAGAGTGTTTGCCTTGTAAGCATGAGACACTGGGCTCCATCCCCAGAACCGCCAAAGGAAAAGTAACAGAAACACTAAGTCATAAAGATCTCCTGACCTCCTGGTCACAGCAGGAAGGGACTGGACCTCTCTTTCATCCCTGCATTTCTAGGTCTTTTTATTCGTGTGTTTGCCTGGGTTTTTGTTTTGCTTTGGTTTTTTTTTTTTTTTTTTTTTTTTTTTTTTTGTTTTGTTTTTTTGGTTGGTTTTGTTTTTTCAAGACAGGGTTTCTCTGTGCAACAGTCCTAGCTGTCCTGGAACTCACTTTGTAGAGCAGGTTGGCCTCAAACTCAAAGAGATAGGCCTGCCTCTGCACTATCACCAACCACAGGGCTGTATTTCTAGATCTTGCATAGAGTAAATGTTTGATGAATGAATGAATGAATGAGTCCAGATTCCCAAGACCATACAATATGGAGATCTCATACTGGACATGAAGATCTCATACCTAACATGGAGATCACATACCCAACATAGGAATTTCACCCCAGCACGTCCTTGCTGATAAAATATCACTCATAGACTCCTATGCATGATAATCCACACTTCTAATTCTAGCGCTTGTGAGGCTGAGGCAGGAGGATTACCATAAATTCCAGGCTAGAATAAGCTACCTAACAAGACCCTGTCTTGACCCCCATAGGGCAGCAATTCTCAACCAGTGGGTTGAGACCCACTGTGGCTCAAACGACCCTTTGGCAGGGGTCACCTAGGACCATCAGAAAACAGATATTTATATTATGACTCATGACAGTAGCAAAATTGCAGTTATGAAGAAACAAAAACAAAAAGCTAGTTTTATGGTTGGGGTCACCACAGGAATGACTGCATTAAATAAAGGGTTGCAGCATTACGAAGAGTGAGAACCTCTGACATAGGATTTCAGTGCAGACTATAGGCTTCCAACCCGGTCCACTATGGCACTGGGGTGGTGTAGATAGGGCTAGCACGTGAGTTTTCCTCACTAATCCTTCAATAAGATGTGAAGTTGTGTACCCACCTCTCACAGCCCTAGCCCCACGCAGAAACACTGTCGGAAATCCTGTCTCAGACCCTTCCCCTTCTTACCTCAGGTCAGCTCTCCTAAGAACAAAACAACCCTCTCTGGAGTCCCCAGCCTCTCTCTGCCCCACAGTCCCATCCCACAAGACCTAGCCCTATGCTGGCATGAGCATAGCCAGTGGGCACTAACCTAGCTCTGAGCATCTCAAGCAGGAAGCTGACAGACTCGGGCCTCCATTCAAATTGGGGCAGGTGGTTTCACCCGGAGGAAGTTGACAGTTCAACTTCAAACAAGGTGACTGTGACGCAGGCCCACGCTGACTGCTTCCCTGTTCCAACTCTGCCTGTGCCCCCTCCCTCCCAGAGAGTGAGACACCGAGCCAGACACCTTTAGGACTGACTGCCGCACTCAATGAGGCTGAGGCAGCAGAAGGCCAGGTCCATGGACTCCCACCAAATGCTGCTGGCTACCGCATATCTGCTGGGAATACTGGGTGAGTCCCTACCAGGTACTTCCAGACAGGATACCTGGGCACACTGGGGTGCAAGGAGGGGAATCTCAACGTTTCCCAGGTCTGACTCTGGGCACGTGTGCAGTATCAGGGAAGTTTGGGGTCACAAAGCACACACAGGTCAACTCATCGGCCTCAGCTGGGCTCTGCATGCCCATTCTTCCCCAACACTGCCGAATCACTCTGCATTGTTGAGACTTACTACCTTCCTCAGCCTTGGGCTAGAAGTCAGAGCATTTAGTTCCCAACCTATGCAACCACCGGCTGCATCATGCTACCCAGAAATGCCTGGCTGTTATTTGGTCACCTCCTAGGAGGCAGAAAGCTAATACCGAGGATGCCGAGGCAGAATGGTCCCTTCATAAGGATGCGGAAGAGCAGATGCCAAACGCAAACAGCGGCCCTGGGTCAGTCCCAAAGGAGTCCCCAACTCCAGACCTAAGGCCCTGATGGTGGGCCATCATTGGTATCTGGAAAGGGGAGGTTGGCTTAACTGGCCAGAGGTACGCTGTGGGAGACCCAAGGGCCTGGAGACCCAAGCCCTGGGCTCCCAGTTTGATAATGAGATCTTCCCATACAGAGCATGTCGACATGTCGGAGCAGGGGTATAAACTGATGGGTCAGAACCTGCCCAAGAAGTGTGGCAGGGAAAGGGCTGCTGTGTGCCAGGTGTGGCGGGGGGAAGAGACAACATCCTACTTTGCAGAGAAGAGGCTGAGGCCGCAGGAACCCAGTCTGTACCTACAACAGCTAGTGAGTGAGTGAGGGTGGGAATGTGAGTGTTTCGATGGGAGAGAGAACATGTTAAATGTGTGTATATATGAGAACTGTGTGGGTACTCTCCTGGACACTACATGGCTTCTTCATTCGTGTTACCATAGGTTGGATACCCAGACAGACACCCCCTATACATATGACAGCAATAGGTACATACAAAATGCCTTCTTGCCAAGCCTTGACTCACTACTGGACACTGCCAGGACATTGCTGTGGCCCCTTAGGTCCTGAGAATCCCAGAAGCCAAGCCTTTACCACCCCCAAAACCAGTCCTCCCTGTATCCTCAGACCCACACACAGGGAGGTTAAGACTCTCCCAGGCTCCCCACTGAGCATGGAGTGAGCTTCTGACAAGACTGACGCGTACCCCAGCCCCATGGAACCCAGAGTCCAGAATAGATGGAGGTGAACACACACACACACACACACACACACACACACACACACACACACACGGGCCTCATCTGAAGGCCAGGGAGCTCAGGGCCCCTGTGTGTGTGTGTGTTTCAGAGTTTATAGGTAGGAAGCAATTCCATGATGCAGGGAACGGGGGCACAGCTCGCAAGTTTATTTTTAATTTTATGGTCCTAGGATTGGACCCGGGGCCCCACATGCTAGGTAAGCTATCACTAAGCAGCATCCTGCCTGTTTTTACTTTTTAAAAAATATGTTTTTTAGGTGTGTGTGTGTGTGTGTGTGTGTGTGTGTACATGTATGTGTATGTGTGTGTTTGTGCACTCATGCCACTGGGTCAGAGGACAACTTGCAAGCATTAGTTCCCCCCTTCTGCCATGTGGCTCCAAAGATGGAACTTGGCTAATTAGTCTTGCCAGAGAGAGCCTTTACTCACTTAGAAATCTCACTGGCCCTCAGCTTTTTCTCCATACAGTGACCAGCTGGCCTTGAACTCACTCCATATGCCAGGAGTGCCTTGAACTTACAATTTCCCCTACCTCCATCTCCCCAGTGGCTGTACCTCCAGGCCTGACTTTGATGAAATGCTTTTAAAGCCTTTTTTTATTTTAATGTAAGCTTCTGAATAGTACAGAAAGTATGTGGGCCCATCAGCCCATTTCACAGTGAGGGAAAACTGAGACCCAGGAGTGACAAGCCCAAGTAGAGCAGATGGTAAGCAATATGGAGAGCCTGGCCTGACACTGCTGCCTTCACACAGCCCCCATTACCTCCATAGGAGTAATTGGTCCCCGAAGCCATTCCCACATGTCAGAGCATGGCTACAGGAGAAACTCCCATCCGCAGGGACACAGGGCTGGGGACAACCCAAGGCCTGAGGAATGAAAATGTATACAATATGGCTACATTAGAGTTTCAGCCAGGGGTTCCTCCATCGTCCCCTCTTACAATTTCTCTGAGCATCAATCACTGACGTGACTTGGGGACATGGACCAGATAGATACTGCACAGCCCCGCTGACCGCACGGTGACTCCAAAACCGAAATTGAGATCCACTCTGCCGCTTTTGGCTGAGTGATCTTGGGCTGGTTTGGTAAGCCTCAGCCTCCTCCACTGTAAGTAGAAAGTAGTAACAGTACCCTGTGACTGTGCCTGGGATTAACTGAATTGACTCTTACTAGGTCTCGCCTGCATATGATGGAGACAGTGCTCAGGAGACATGAGGGACATCCAGAAGCAAGGCCAGGCCGGACAGAGTCAGGAGGGTTCTTACAAGGAACTCACCACACCACATCTTCTCCCCCATCCTTCATGCACAGGCCATCATTCATTCATTCACTCACTCACACATTCATTAATCTCCTAGATACTCAGCTCTTTACAGCAGTGGGAGCCAAGGCAGACATCCCGGCCTGTGGCCTGCCCAGCTCACAGAGGAGACATGGCAAAGGAAGTATGGAAATCATAATTCTACACATGAGTGGAGGCCCCCACTCAACATAGAGACCTGGCTGTGCAGGCACAGGAACTTTCGAAGAGGATGACATTACCTCTGTCACCCTGAGACTCAAATGATAAGAAGAACCAGCTAGGCAGAGAAAGGCGGGAAGGGGTTGCTCTGGGTAGAGGGCCCCACAGGGTAAAGGTCATGGCGGAGAGATGGGCCTATGGGCCTGAGGGGCTGGGTGGTGATAGCTAGGAGCAGGCAGTGAGCCCTGTCCCAGGATGCACCATTGAGGTTGTCTTTAGCTCTAGGTACTAATGATCAGAGCCCTGACTGATCCTGGAAGCCAGGGGCTGGTGCGAGCCCTGTGGTGGCTCCACCAAGAGGTCAGATGGTTTCCTAGAGTGACCAGGACAAGGATTCAGTCGGAGCTGACAGCTAGGAGTATTGGTTCTCCATGTTTATGTATATGCGTGCACATGTGTGCAGGTGGCGTGCAGGGCAGGGTAGGAGGACATAATTTGCTTTCTTCTCAGTCCCTCAAGGTGACAAGAACTTCTCTGGTCCTTGGTCTTCTCATCTATAACACAGGCTGGGCTAAGATGGGCATGGTGGTAATCCCAGACCTCAGTAGGCCGAGGCGGGAAGATCACAAGTTTCAGGATAGCCTGGGTTACACAGTGAGTAACCTGTCTCAAAAAACAACCAAACAAAACAGAATATCAGAAGCCTGTAGTTGTGTTTCAAAAGATAAGAGTGGTCGTTTCCGCAGATCCATCCAGACAAGCACTGATTGAGTGCCTACTATGTGCTGGAGCTACAAAGAACAAAGCAACAAGATCTCTGCCCTGGCAGGCCTGAGGCAAAGATAATATGTCTGAACATGCTAGAAGGTCATTCATGGGTTGGCAACAGATAAAGGGAGGGTTGGGTGGGAATGGGGGGCATGCTGTGCCTACCCAGGGTAGGTATTACAGAAAGAGAAAATGTTCACACATAGGCAAGGGAAGTGGGCAAGCCTGCCACTGGGATCCAGAAAAGGAGACCTTAGCTCAGCAGGTCCAATGGAGGGAAGGTGAAAGGGAGCCACAGTGCCTCCTTGAGGATGAGCTTCCATCCTATGGACCAGAGACCACGCAGAACAGAACCATCTCTCCAGGACTATGAGTCCTCAGCCTGACCTCTGGCCAAACATACTCCAGAATCCAAATGTTTTCCAAATGTAGATATGTAGCTGTTTCATTTTATGTAAGCTGTGTTCTTCCCATACTCTTGAGGAGGTCTGGGGGCGGTACTGGGTCACAGAATGCATGCCCACTTCTATGGTGACACCTGGGAGACTCTGGCCAAGTCATCATCCCCTCTGAAGTTTTCCCACCTGAAAGTGGAGGCAAACACAACCCATTTATTTAGGGCCATGACGGCAAGGCCAGGCTGCAGTATGGGGCTTTGAAATATGTAAAGGCCAGCACCTGTAAGCCCAGCGCTTGAATGATAGAAGGCAAGAGGACCAAGGAGTTTCAAGGCCATCTTCTGAGGTATAACGAGGCCTAGGCTAAGCTGGGCTATATAAGACCCCCCCACAAACACACACACACACACACACACACACACACACACACACACAAAGGAGAAGGGGAGGTTGTCAGGGACCAGCACAATGGTGAGATTATTGCCTCAGTCTGAACCCACTGACCCTTGTGCACACGCTCTATCTCCCATGCTGCTCCTGGAAGGGCAGGCGGTGGGGGAGCAGGGTAGTGTGTGCATATTGGTCATAGCAAAAGGCACAGCTATAACCAAAGGCTTCTTCGGGTGCTCTACTCAAGTCTCCAATTCCTGGATCTCTCTGACCTCTGTTTCCAGAAAACTCTGATAGTCTCAAGTTAGGGACAACCCTACTGATAAGTATTTGTTTTGTTTTATTATTCCAGAAACATGGGTTTTTAGCTGGGCATGATGGAGCACACCAAGGAGCCAGAGGCGAGCGGATCTCTGAGTTCAAGGCCAGGCTGGTCTACAAATCAAGTTTCAGGATAGCCAGGGCTACACAGAGAAACCCCATCTCAGGGGGGGAAAAGTAAAGGCAATAGTGAGGTTTCTGGAAACTTCCAAATTAGCCAATTCAGAGATGAGGGAGGGAAACTAATGGTCCTCCACAAAGCTGGCAGCCTCCAGTGTAAACTGATGACTGCAGTTTGGGGAGCTCCATCAGGGATCACTGGTTATGCGGTAAAGAGGCCACCTGATTTCCAAGTTACATGAAAGTGATGGTGGGGGCTTCTTTCTCTGAAGAACAAGACAGTCACATCTTCGTTTGAGGCTTTGGGCAAGAAATGGCAATTCATGAGAGAGGATAGCCACCACAACGGGTGGGGTACTACTGTTATTGCCAAGGTCCCGGCCCCTCACTCTGAGCTCTGGTGCCTACCAGATGCTAAACCAATATGACCAGGCTCCACGTGACAGGCAGGACCTCCGAGCTGGTCAGAGTCAGAGGACTGAGTCTGACTATCTGCCAGCTGCCCTGAGCCAGGTTCTGTCCTACATAGTACCTTACCTACGCCTGTGAACAGTGGCAGCCTGGCTACCAATAAAGAGATCCATTGCAGAGGGCCATGAACATTTGTATTCATTCCAAAATCCAGAGGATATTAAAATTCCTGGCAGACAGGTCTGGTACAAGATGGCAACTTGAAGTCACAGGAGGCTATTTATAACCCTGATGTATCCCATTCAGTGTGGGAATGTGTGTGTTTCGCTGAAGACAGCATCATTTGCCTAAAGCCAGGGCTCAGGAGACATGGGGAGAAAGCAGGACCCCCCCCCCCCCCGCAGCTCCAGTAAATCAAAAGTCAAAAGTATAGACTGCTGGTGATGGTAACATAGCCCATAGCCAGGTTCCCTGATTTTCAAAACCATCTGAAGCTTCATTCAGATTTACTTTAAAAGCAAAATAAAAGAAGTTTTGAAAGTTATGACAACGCCGCACACCACCAGAAAAAAAGAAAAGAAAAACGTTAAGCATTGCCTGGAGCTAATGAAACTCACTGGTGGTGAGATGTAGCCTGTGGGATGCAGCACAAGGAACCACATGGAGCATCATAGGCATACTCAGGGCAGGAAGGAGGGGGAGATATCTTGGAGCAGCTCTCAGGGATTCTTCTGATCCTTTCTAAGTCCTGTCAGCTTAGGCAGGCTCAAAATGGCTGGATTTAATCAACGCGAAAAGGAGAGTGTGGTTACGAACAGTGGCTTCTTTGCCAAGGTCTTTCTTTGTCTGGGCTTGCTCAGTCTAAGCCCAGCACTGTGGGAGCATGCAGAATGTTGGGCAGGGAAGGAAAAGGCCTTGGAATCCTTAGAAGCTGTCCCAGAAGCTTGGAGGAGAGGTGTGGGTGGCAGAGGACGACATGGTATGATGTTTCCATGCCACATCTCCCTGCAGCCTTAGGATCTCCAAGCAGAGTCCTGGTTAGGGTTGGCTATGGCAGTTTAAGAAGGGACTGGGCAGGGGTGAAGTATGGCTCCAGAGGAGTCCAGGGAGATGCTGAGCACAGCCTGCCAGGCTCAGGGTGTTCATGGGTTCCTGTGAAAATCCACAAAGTGACACAGAAATCCCGAGTATCCCTGGACGGGCAAAGAAGCAGGCAAGTCCTGCTCTGACGAACACCTTTAAGACCCATTAGAAACACAGGTTGGAGATTTTGTACCATTAGACCAAGAGGGAAGTGAAGGGTAATGAAACTGAACTTCGTCACTTTACAGATCAGTGAACTGAGCCCAGAGAGTCTGAGTCGCCAACATCACACAGCAGATTCAGAGCTATGTCTACCCATGGCACATTTATTTGATCTTGACGGCTTGAAGCATACAGGAATTGATTAATACAGAGCACAGCAGACAGCTTGCCCTGGTGGGAAGAGCACAGCCTCTTGGCCACAAGCTGTATGGGCAAGATATTCACCTCCCTTAGTTTCCTCTATCAAACAGGGACCAAAGCAATAATATCTATCAAATGGCGTGGTGGAGAAGACTGAGAGAGTTTAGGCTAGAAATTCCAGAAGAGTGAAAACTAAAACTGCTGATGACAGTAGTGATGATGATGGTGATGGTGGCAGAGATGAAGGTGGTAGCGATGGTGATAGGGATGATGGTGGTGATGATGACTGTGATGTTGAGAATGGTGATGGTGGCAGCAATTACAATGGCGATGGTAATGATGGCGATAGTGATGGTGGTGGTGATGGTGATGATGGTGGAGATGACAAGAGAAAGGATAATGGCAGTAGTGATAATGGTGATGCTGACAGATGGAGGCGGCGGTAGTGAGGGTAATGGTGGTAGCATTGATGGTGATGACAGTGGTAGTTACATGATGAGAACAGTTGTGGTAATAGCGATGGTGATGGAGAAAGAAGGGAGAACACGGTTCACGTGAGGACCAGACCGAATGAGCCACACCCTGGAACGCACAGCCACCCTCCCTCAACAGATCACTTTCCTTCTTAAATTTATTGTGTGTGTGTGTGTGTGTGTGTATGTATGTATGTTTGTGTGTGTGTATGTATGTGTGAATGTGTGTATATGTATGTGTGTGTGTGTGCATATGTGTGCGTGTGTATGTTTGAGCATGTGTGTATGTGTGTGTATATTTGTGTGTGTGCGCATGTATGTGTGAATGTGTGTATATGTATGTGTGTGTATATGTGTATGTGTGTATGTGTGTGTGCATATGTGTGTGTCTATGTTTGAGCATGTGTGTATGTGTGCATATGTGTGCATGTGTGCACGTGCGTGTGTGTGCACGTGCGTGTGTGTGCGTGCGTGCGTGTGCACGTGTGTGTGTGTGTGTGTGCGCGTATGTGTGTGTGCGTGCCACAGAGGACAGAAGACAACTTTGGGGAATCAGTTCTCCTTCCACCTTATTGAGTCGCTGCACTGTGAATTCCAGGCAAGCTGGGCCCTGAGCTTCTGAGAGTTTCTGTCTCTGCTGTTCTTACTGTGGGTGTGCTAGGATCACAATGAACACCAGCACACAGACTTTTTAATGTAGGCTTGCATCACAAACACTTTTACCTGCTTTCCTTTTTAGAATGGCAGCTAGTGTCAGCTATTCGGTTTCCTAAGGAAATTCTCTAAATGCTGTCTGTGAGGTGTCTACCCCTGGGGCCCGGGATCGTCAAACCCAGCCCCTGCCCCACAGGTTTCTAAATCTGGCTGCTCAGGGATTATGGTGGCCTCTGGATCACCATAGTGGGTACCTTGGAGTGGCAGCTGAGTAGCTGAGAGCTAGCCAGAGGCAACCACAACCTAGCCAAGTGTTTGATATTCATAGTGAGCTCAGGGGATTAAGAGCTCTGTGGCCTGCCCTCCAAGCTTCCCAGGCAAGCCCTCTCATCTCCCACTGGGAAAGCTCCCCAGAGGTCTGTGGCCACACCTGCCCCACCCAAACTGCAGTAACCCCATTTATGAGCACTGAGCTGGGCTTGGGCAGCACTAGGCTAAACTCTTCACATAGAGGGGCCCAGCTCCATCGCTCAGCATAGCTCACTCCACACTGTAGATGGGGAAACCGAGGCTAAAAGGGCTAAGGTAGGACAACCTGACCCCCATGCCACCCGCAGAAACAACAGAGCTAACCCTCAGACCCGGAGCACTTCTAGGACTGAAACCCAGCCCTGCATCACACAGCAGCAAAGGGCAGGTCTAAGTGTCTCCTGTCCCAGAAGACACCACTTTTTAAGTACCTCAGCCCTCATGGTTTTCCCAAATGAGTGGCCCCCTGATGTTGGCTTTCCCAGTCCCCATGGGGGAGCCAGAACCAGAAAGAGAGAAAGAAAGAAAGAAGGAAGGAAGGGAGGGAGGGAGGGAGGGAGGGAGGAAGGAAGAAGACTGAGAGAGAGAGGTGGGTGTGACAGTCGAGGAAGAACAATGGGTTCCCGCCTCCTCTTTTGCCCCGTAGCTAGGCTTCTACCCCACATCTTCCTGAGGACAAACTGGCTAGCCATGGTCCCCGGGTTAGCTCCCCAGAATAAGGATTAGGAGTATAAACCCATGCACAGTGTCTGCTGTTTACACATGGGCTCTGGGATTAAACAAAAGTCCTTGTGCTTGTGAGACAAACGCTTTACTGGCTTAGCCATCCCCTCAGCATTACTGAGGGGATTCACATCCTCCCAATACCAGCATGTGTCCTTGTCCTTTATTCTGCCCTGTTTCCTTTTTAAGAAGAGGAATGCTTGCATTTCTATAAAGGGACAGACAGAATGAGGAGTCCCTGTGGACAGCGATTGTGATGGAGGTCATACATGTGGTATGTCAACACTCACAGAATCGTGCACTAAAGAAAAATTGATTCTACTTCTGTATCCATTGAGAAAATAAAATTTAAAAACAGAGAGAATCAATGGCTGCAACCCACTAAATTGATTCCACAACCACTCCGGGTTCTGCACTACAGCATGAAGATCCCTGGCATCTCCTTGACAGCAGGGTTGGGGGACAGTCAGCCAGGGTCACTGTTGCCCCTTGGGGCAGAGGAAGGGGGGCACTTCACATTCTGACCTCCTTCTGTGTTTTCTACAGTTGCTCTGTGCCTTGGACAGTCCCGATGGGATGGCTCAGGTAAGGAAGAGTATGAGAAACAGAAGTGGGGGGGGGAGAGCAGCTGTTTGGGGGTACAGGATGACCTGCCTGTTAAAAGACACTGCCTCCTCCATCAACATGAACCCCGCCTCTTGCAAACACACAGACATCCGCCATGCCGGTACACATACAGGTGGCACCCTTCACAGCCAGAGAGCATCACATGAGTGCTGGCTAGCATGCCCCCTGCCCACTCTGCGGGCAGGAAACATACCCACCCACAAATGTATCTCACAAAGCCTCCATGGTCATGGACACTTACAGGCTGTGGGAAAGGTTGTGTCAGGCTGTAAAGAGAGGAGTGTCTTAGAAGCCTCAATCTTAGAAGCCACGGCTTCTCAATCAGGCAAAGGTGGGCCACACAGCATCTCCTACTGGAGACGGCAGTGGACACTGGCCTAACGAAGGCCCTGAGAAGTTCCTCAGTGACGAATCACATTGATTTAATTCTCCACGCTCAGGGCGAACCCCAGGGCCCTGCACGTGCTAAGCAGTGGTTCGATGTGGACCAGTCCCCTGCACCCAGCTAGCCAGGTGGCCTCAGTTAGCCACAGCCCTGCTCTCTCCATGGGCAGAATGGAAAGGGCCCTGGCCAGTGGCTCTAAGCCAAGGAAGCCTCTGAGAAAGCCTTTTCATTTTCAGATGTGTTCCTTGAATAAGTAATACATTTGTTCAGCGCAAAGCTGCCGATGACAAGACCTGCTGCTGGGTCATTTGTCTCTGCTCCTCATCTGCCCTTCCCCCTCTCACCCAGCACCCCAGGGAATGACTGCGTTCACTCCTCTTTTATGCCCTTCCAGAATCTCTTTGTGCAGACAGAGACAGGGATAGAGACAGAGAGAGACAGAAGATATAATATCTGTGGCTTCAACCAAGTGAAGATCAAAAATGAAGACCGAATCTGGGGAAACAATTCAGTCTATAAATCTCATCTCCTAAGCATGAGGACCAGAGTGTGGTCCAAAAAAAAAAAAAAAAAAAAAAACAAACAAACAAAAAAACAATCCAGACATATTCCTCTCCACGTCATGGAGCTTTATAAACTAACAAAGCCGCAAGCCTGCCCATAACCTAAGAATTTCACTGTAAGGTATTTATTCAAGAGAAATAGAAATAGAAGCCCACATGCTGGCCTGCACATGTAAATTTATCAGCATTTTGATTTGCAGCCAGCTACACAACCCACATGATACCTGGAAAAGAAATGGGGAAAATTCACACAATGAAATATTATTCCAGACTAAGAAAAAGACATGAATGTCTGATCTATACAGAAATACACATAAGCCGCAAATATATGTAGAGGGCAAGAGGCCATAGCAAATGATGCTCTGTGGTTCGATTCAATTACATGACCCTGTAGAAGACTAATCTTTCATGGCAGAAAGCAGGGCAGTCCTTGCTGGAGGCTGGAGCCGGGGAAATAAACGGGCTGTGCAGAAGCAAGCAGGAAGTGTCTAGATGACAGACAGACTGTATCTCCATCACAGAGTGACTGTGTGCTTGTAGATGCCCGTCAACTCCAACAGAACAGAACCCTTAAAATGAAAGTATTCTGCTGCCGGAACACTGTGCATCCATAAAATTGATTGTTGATGTTTTGTTTCATTGAGACAGGATCTCCTATACCCCAAGCTGTCCTCAAACTCACTATGTAGATGAGGACAACCTTGAACTCCTATTTCTCCTGTCTCTACCTACTAAGTGCTGGGATTACAGACATGTACCACCCAGCCAATACAATCGATTTTAAACACTAAAACACAAACAGCTGGGAAGATGGCTCAGTCCAATAAAGTGCTGTGTGTGAGGACCTGAGTTCAATCCCCAGAGCCCACATTAGGAAAGAGGGGGGTGCATGGTAGACACTTGTAATCCTATGCTAGGTAGGAAGAGACTAGCAAACTCCCAACAGGCCGAGCTGAATTGGTAAGTCCAACTCCTAGTGAAAGACCATGTCTCAAAAAACAAGATAGACAGCTAGCTCCTGAGAAATGACACTAAAAATTGACCTCTGACCCCTGACACACATGCACACATGTGTACAGAGAGAGAGAGAGAGAGAGGGAGAGGGAGAGAGAGAGAGAGAGAGGGAGAGCACGTCAGGCCACACCTCAGGCCTATTGAAACTGAATTTCCAAGATTGAAGGGATTTTGTTGGACAGAAGGTGCTGACAACATCTTGTTCACAGCCCCAAGGTTCCCTCTAGCTCAGAAATGTGAGCCACAGTGTAGGGCCAACAGAGCACCCTGTCTGAGTCTCTAGGACACTTTGTAGTGCCCGAAAGGGGGGAAACTCAAAAACTCAAAAAGGGAAGCAAGAGCTGAGCCCCTGGGGAGAGCTCCTCCCCCCATCACCTCACACTCCCTACTACCCCTTTACCACCCTCCCAGATCTCCAGATGACACTAAGTGGTACCAACTCCAAGTGCCAGGGTAAACTGGAAGTCCAGATGGGAGGCCTGAGGAGGACTGTGTGCAGTTCCAGCTGGAGCCAGAGCCAGAAGCACTGGATAAACGCCCACGAGACCTACAAAGTGTGCCAGAAGCTGGGGTGTGGTTATCCCTTGACCATCGGCCACTTCCCTTCATTGGACAGACCCCAAAACCAGATCATCTGTCGTGAACCCCTGTGGTCTTTCTCCAACTGCAACACAAGTTCACCAGTCGGGTGCCCTCCGCTGAGCCTGATCTGCCAAGGTGGGTGGTGCTGTGTGGCAGCCATGGGAAGGCAAGGGGATGGAAAGGGCTTTCCAGTTCGCAGTCCCCTGACCTTAGAGAGAGAGGGGACTGGGTACTGCAAAGCAGGACCTGGCTCTGCCAAACGCCGGCCTTGTCCTCTGGACCTTCACTTTCCTGCCTGTGACGTGTGGGTCTGCCACCTCTCAGGCCACTCTCCCCGTGTATTCACATGGTCACCACCCCAGTCCCCCTCCACTCCCCACCTCCCACCAGTGTCTTGTTGCAGAGCCCCAGAGGACAACACCTCCACCCACCACCACCCCACCCACCACCACACCAGAGCCCACAGGTAAGAAGGATCTTGGGCCTCGTGGGGGGCAGGAGAGGGAAGGTTCTGACACAGACAGTAAAGATCCAAGGACCAGGCACCAGGCACGACAGAGCTGTTGCACTCTTGAACTCACAGGGCCTGTGATTAGGTTGTCAACACTCCTTAATGGAGGGAGGAGGGTCCCATGAGACTTCACTCCTCCCTAAGGAAGTATAGGCAGTTAATGGTCAGAGAGACATTTTCTTCAGTGCTGTGGCCACTGGTAAGGTGCCCACGTTCCTGTAAATAGCCCTAATTAAATCCATTGAGTCACCAAAACAAACAAAAGCCAAGAGGCCCAGCTATGTCTAAATTCCAGTGGAAAAGATTCAGGTGTGTCCTATGCAATGTTTGGGACCATCTCCTCCCAAGCGTTCATAGGTTGGTACTCAGCAGCAAGGCATTGTGAAAGTCACCCACACTCAGACATGCCTCCCCTCTTCCAGCTCCTCCCAGACTGCGGCTGGTGCCAGGACCCAGGGGCCTGACATGCTCAGGTGTGGTGGAATTCTACAATGGCAGCAGAGGTGGCACCATCCTCTACAAGGCCAAGGACAGGCCCCTGGGCCTGGGGAACCTCATCTGTAATGCTCTGCAGTGCGGCTCTTTCTTGACACATCTGTTGGGGCCAGAGGCAGCAGGGACACCAGCTCCTGAAGAGCTGAAGGACCCCAAGCCTTTGCCAGTTGGATGGGAGGTGCAGAATGGGGACTGTGCCTCGATGCATCAGTGCTTCCAGAAAACGAGGCCCCAGGAGGGTGCCCAGGCACTATCGGTTGTCTGCTCCGGTAAGCTGCAAACCAACCACACCCCATCAGGCCGTCTGTTGCCTTGGAGTGTGGATGTGGAGTCCCCCATCAGATGTTCAGATTGTGTGAGAGGCCTGATAGGAATGAAGGACAAGATGAGGCCTGAGCCCATGGTCTCCTCTAAAAAGTAGGACAAGTTAGATGAGGTGGTGTCTGAGCCATCTACAAAGCAACCCCTGCCAGCCCAAAGGAGCTACCATCTGGAGAAATGGAGTCAGCTGGGATCCTAGCAGGAAGAGGAGACAAGGCTTTGAAACCAAGGCTCTTCTGGGTCCTGAGCTCCAAGAGACTGGCAGTGCTGGTGTATTTGAAGTGGGGACAGGGATAGCTGACCTGTGGGACTCTATGGATCCAAACCAGGATTGGGGACAGACCAGAAGAAACCACAGTTCAAAGCAAGGCAGAATAACCACCAAGCCTGGGGAGGAGTAGATTTGTGTCACCCGAAGTGCCCTGGGTTCTGTCCCTAACAGACTACTTGGCGCTGGGCACCCTTCAGTTTTTATCCCCACCTTGGGAGATGGGAACTACTGTTACTCCCTTTCTCCATGAGGGGCTCGAAAGAGCTCAACTTCCTCCCAGCATCACATAGCACTAGCTGAGATTTGCCTTCAAGCATTGTCACTCCAGAGTCTATTTTCTACACTTAGACTACTCAGGGTGTGGTTCTAGACAGGCAGCATCTGGAGAACAGTCTCACCACTCCCCATACTCCCAACAAGAGCCAGTCAGTAGGCCCTCAGGATACCTACCCAACTGCGGAGGCTCTGAACTGTACGGTCTACAAGCAGGACAGCCTACTCCACTGGACACCTGATATAAAGTGCTCTTCTAGGCCAGAAGCAGCCCCCAAGGTTCTCTGGCTCAGATGAGAGGCCCAGGGCTGGCTCCAGTCCCACCTACCCTCAGCTGTGAACCCTAAAGCTCTCATGCAGGCTACAACCTGCAAAAGCCATTCCCAGGGTCTTGCTTTGAAGTTTCTTCTAAATAGAAGATTCACTAGGGCTTTGAAGGTGGGTGTTGCCATGGAAACTAACCAAAGCTGGTAAGCTCACTATTGACTTTAAACCAAGCATAGTAGCTTCTGCCACAGATTCCCAAGCACCACCCTGATTAGCAGACATAAATACCCCTCTAGGCACCTGACCTCACTGCCAAAAGCCTAACCTACAGTGTTCAGGGCCCGGGCAGCCAAATGCCTGGGTTCTGTTCCACCCATGAAGTATACCAGCTCTTTCTGGTCTCCAGGACAGTTTTCTCCTTCTAAAAAGCCCTCCCTCTTCCTAAGGAATAGCAAGAGAGTAAAAAGGCATGGCCACTCGGCCAGCTTCTTTGCCATTGGGGAGAATGTTAGAAGGATGTTAGGATGTGCTTGAAAAGGATAGCATCTTCCCTGGAGTGCTAATCCCTGCCAAGTCCTTCAGGTCAGGCCTGCCACCTCACCATCACTTCCCCTCTGCAGATTTCCAGCCCAAGGTTCAGAGCCGCCTGGTGGGGGGCAGCAGCTTGTGTGAGGGCTTCGCTGAAGTGCGCCACGGATCACAATGGGCCACCCTGTGTGACAGTTCTGTGGCCAGAGGTCAGGCACGGTGGGATGAGCTGTGTCAAGAGCAGCAGTGTGGCAACCTCATCTCCTTCCACGCGCTGGATGCTGACAGGACCTCCACCGGGCTTGTCTGTACCCAGGAGAAGCTGTCTCGGTGTTACCAGCTTCAGAAAAAAAACAACTGCAAGAGAGTGTTCATCACATGTGAGTTGACCGAAGCCCTCGGTGGATGGACATCAGTTAGGGACTTTTCCTCTAGGACCTAGTCAGGGAGCTTGTCTCTAAAGAGCAGATAGGAGAGGCAGATAAGAGCTCCTGGAAAATGGACAGTAACTGAGATTCTGGATGCAAGAATCACATTGCAATGATGAGTGGACCAGGCAAGATCCAAGTGGATCACTGTCAGGCCACTGGCAGATGCTAGAACTCTTCCTTTCTATCTCCTGCTCTCCAGAGTGCAAGCTAGAAAAGCAGGGGGTGGATGGAACATATTTACTACTCAAGTGGTAACTGAATAATGGGTAAAAGAGACAGGTACATGGATGGGTGACATAAATGGGGTGGATGGGTGAGTAGTTAGATGATTGTATAAATGGATGGATGTGTCAGTGGATAGACAGATGGACAGACAGATAGACAAACAGACATACAGACAAATGAGTAGCTAGATGACTGTATAAGCAGATGAACTGATGGGTCAGTGAATGGGTAGGTGGATAGATGGATGATAGCTACATAAGTAGATATATGGGTGCGTGGGTGGGTGGATGGATGGATGGATGACAGATGGTTGAATAGATAAAAGACTGGATGGTTTTTGATATGTGGTCATATATGGTCATCTTCCTGATGGTAAATGGGAAGTTGATTGGTTATAATAGTGACGATAAAAAATTTACAGTCTATAACAAGAGTAGCAAATAGTAGTTTGATATCACTAAAAGTAATAAACAGCAGACAAATGGATAGCTATCAAAGATTCTTAGAGATAGACAGACAGCTCCCTTCTGAACACTCTGGTGGTACCAGGAAAATCCAGGCAATTACTGCCCTCTGAGTTGCTCCCCAGGGTTGGGACTGATTTAAGACTTCTCTTGTGCAGGCCAAAACCCAAACCCAGCAGGCCTGGCCCCAGGCACTGTGGCAAGTATCATCCTGACTCTTGTACTCCTTGTGGTGCTGTTGGTAATGTGCGGGCCTCTGATCTACAAGAAGCTGGTAAAGAAATGTAGGTTCCAAGCCCCAGCCTTCTTCCCTTACCACCCAGCTCCCCCCTGCAGCCTTCTGGCCTTCTTCTGCCTTAAGTATTAGAAAGTCAGGACAAACTGCAACACTCTCTTATTGGCCCTTGTCTGGACTTGGCAAAAGCCAACTACCATTGATGAAGGCCATGGCCACACAATATCAGCACAGACTCTGATGCCACAAGATGTGGCCCAAGTCCAGCTCCACAACTGCCAATGGCACTGACTGCACTGCTGCCTCTATCTGAGTCTGTTCCCCCATTTGCTGAATGGACATTTGCATACTTAATGAATGAGGGGGCTTGTCTCCCTGGCTTTGCAGACCCTAGAGAAATTGTCCAGAGCCAAAGAAGAACAAGGGAGAACAGAGACAAGCAGTCTTGGGTCCCTTGTGTCCTCTAGGTTCTAAATAAACCCTGTGGTCATTTCTACAGACACCCAATGGCTCCAATCTCCTTCCCTAGTCAGTTAGGAATGAGGCAGAAAGCCTGGAGTGGTGGTCCTTATCAGTCTTGCCTCCATCTTCCCCATCTCCCCTCCTTTACCATCGCCTCCCCTCCTCCACCTCCCCTCCCCCATCGCCCCTCCCCCACCTTCCCCCTTTACTATCATCTGGCTCTCACAAGCTTTTTGTCTATTGCCCAGTCCGTCAGAAGAAGCAGCGTCAGTGGATTGGTCCCACAGGAGTGAACCAAAGCAGTAAGTGTCCCCAGAGGCAGGTCGTCCTCAGCCCTAGGACTTAGGTCACAGAAGTCAAGGTCTCTGCCAATCACAGTGAACTAGCAGCTGCTAGTGGACTTGGCTCTCCACCACATTTCACTAAGGTGTGACTGTGGCCAGCAAATGTACCCACACCAGAGAAGGCTGAGGTTTCTTCGAGGAGCAAATGGTTCTGTGAATTTTTCCTCCTGAGCCTCAGACGCCATGGTATTTCTGCTCTCTTGCCTTGTGGTTGACTTAAGAAGAGGTCCCCACAGCCTTCACCCCTAGGACAGCCGTCCCCAACTTGATGACTGACAGAGGTTCATGGGGATTATTCATCCCGTGGTCAAATGGGGTTAAACAAAGCTATGCACATTTCTTTTTTTTTTTTAATTTATTATTTTACATGTCGATATGCACATTTCTTTAGTTCGGGACTTATAAGGCTCCCTTTCAAAGTGGGGAGGCATGGCAGAGAACTGGCCAAGCTAGTTTTAGCACAGAACAACTTCAGAGGGCCAGTATTAGAATATACTAACTCGGCCAGTCTCTTTTTCTAGCCATATTCAGAATTACACTAATGTGGAAGCATGCACTCTATCCCTCCCCCCCTTCCATGTCCAGGCCCAAATCTTTCCAGAAGGTTCTCTGTTTTGTTTCGTTTTAAGTAATATAAAGGCCCGCAGTTCCTGATGCATAGGAGTACATCTCCCTAGATCTGTGTTCCAGCTAGGTAAAAGCTTGATGGCTGACTGAACAACTGGAGGCCTCTCCTGGCCAATCAAATTGCTCTAAAAGCCTGAGGCTGAGCCTGCTGGCATGAATCTCCCCAGAGAGAAAGGAAGGGGAAATGTACTATCCCTCTCCCATGACCCTCATGGATACAGGAAGCTAAGCTATGGGATCTTGCTCGGGAAGGACAGCACATCGGTTCTAACAATGCCACTGGTCTCCTGTGTCTGCTTAGTGTCTTTCCATCGCAGCCACACGGCAACTGTACGGTCCCAGGTTGAGAACCCAGCGGCTTCTCATGTGGACAACGAATATAGCCAGCCTCCCAGGAACTCCCACCTGTCCGCTTATCCAGGTGAGCAGCAGGGGGCTGCTAGGTGAGGGGTGGGGCATATGCTGAATGCTAACCTTGAAGTTTTGTGCTTGTCCAGAGAGGGAAAGGGAGGCTCCAGGGGGTGGAGGATGAAACTGCCTGCTTGACAGCTGGTCCCAGCAGGGCGGTGGCAAGAATACAGCCTTTATAGGCCCCTGCTGTCCCTTGGAGACCTTGAAACATTCATCCAGAGAGAAGAATGCAGTTGGATGGATGCCATTAACCCCAGCCTTGCTGTGACCTAATGGGCCTGTGTGCCTGCGAGCCTTGAGGGGCTGGATGATAAATGAGGCCCTCGAATCTCTCTGAGCCAGAACAGAGCCATTAAGTGGTCCACAGGCACCTCCGATACTTGGCTTCTCACAGGCACTCACAATTAAGTCCCAGGGGGCCTGGAGTTTAGCATCATTAGCGAACATTTGGTCAGTCTGATCAAAACTGATACAAGGCTGTCACCAATTCAGAGAGCCTCTGTGATCTTGCAGCCCACTCAGCTCCTGGGGCCTTGTGTAGCCTCTAGGACTTCTTTAATCAATCCTTTCTCTCTAGCTCTGGAAGGGGCCCTACACCGGTCTTCCACCCAGCCTGACAACTCCTCTGATAGTGACTATGACCTGCAAGTGGCTCAGAGACTGTAAACGGTGAGCCTGCCCCTGCCCGGTGCTTGGCATCCAGGATCTACACCCAGCCCTGGCACCCCAGCCTCTCTGCTGTACATACCGGATAGCGGCTCCTACTATCTTGCTTCATATAAAGGGAGAGACTGAGCCAGGTCTGTCATCCTGGCATCTAGGAGGCAAAGTCACAAGTCCAAGGTGAATTTAATCTACAAAGCTAGCTCCAGGCCAGCCAGAGATACAAAGCAAGTCCCATCCCACAATTTAGATGATGGAGCCACCTAGGGAAACTGCAGAAAAACCATTAATCCCAAAGCCACCCTGTAAAGTCCCATCATGAAAAGCCACAGGAAAGATACCAGAGAGAGAGCTGGGTGAGGGCTGCCAGCACAGCAGTGGCTTACATGCAGGAGGACCTGAGTTTGACCTCCTAGATCCATATTTGAAAAACAACAGCAAAAAAAAAAAAAAAAAAAAAAACCCAGAAACAACTGGGTGTCGTGGGATGCACTTTGTAATCCCAGCCCTGGCGTGATGGCAGACAGAGACAGGCAGGCAAAGGTCCAGGCCAATGGCAGACCTTGACTCCAACAGAAAGTAGAAGGTGCCTCCAGAATGACACCTCTAGCTGTCCTCTGAGCTCTGCCTGTGAGTGTACACACATACTCCCATAACACACACACAGAGACCCCTTAGGGCTGGTGATAAATCACACCCTTCAGACCCACTGTACCTCTAGAAGGGAGAACTTCCTGACACAGGACAGCAGCTTCCCCAAACTGAGTGTAAATCCTGGTTCCCCTTCACAGCGCCAGTGTTTATGATCTGACATGTGTCCTTTCGCCTCATAGAACTTGGAACCAGCAACAAAAGGCCAAGTAGCGCCCTCTGTCCTGAGGAAGCATTTACCACTTGGAGTGCCATCCCTATTCCCTCCTCAGCCAGAACTCAGCCAGAGGCCAAGGTCCTTTGCAAAAGATCCTGGGCACTGCAGTGGCAGGCCAGCTCCTATATCCCCTAGGGCCATGACAGCTTGGCTGCCTCCTCCAAAAGCCAACACTCAACAGCACCTAGACCTACCAACCCTTCCAAGCAGAGACTGCAGTATCCAGGGGGTCCCCACCCTTTGAGGAGCAGTGACTGGCAGGGTCGGCGTTCTCCTTGGACTCTGATGCCACAAAGGAATGATGAGGCCGTGCACAACCTCGATGGAGTTTATTTCTCAAGTGTATTTTTAATATATTTTTTGTAAATAGTGTTTGTTTTTTTCCTACTTCCCAAGAACTTGAGTACTACAGTCTGTTGTGTCCAGGGCCCCACCTTCCAGAACCCTCTGATGAGAGACATATTGAGTCCTGTGTAGCCACCAGAGTCACAGGCTGCACACCTGAGCCAAAGGGAAGCTTATTTTCTGCCTTCCATCTTCTATATCCCTCATCCAAAGACACCTTTCCCTCCAGAGCACAAGACTTGTTGGCTAGCAAGGGCACTGGTACCCTGCCCCCACCAGAGCCCAGCATAAAGGGGCACCCAGCCAATCCTCACCCATTAGGCTTTTTACTCCTCACAACAGTTAGTAATCCCCAGCTCAGATATTTTCTGCTAACCTTCAAACCAAGGAGTTGGAGAACAGGGCTAGCTATGTTCATAGGGTTTAAAGTTTTGTTTTTTAAAGATTTATTTATTTTATTATGTATATGTCTACACACCAGGAAAGGGCACCAGATCTCATTCCAGATGGTTGTGGACCTCCATGTGGGTACTGGGACTTGAACTCAGGACCTCTAGAAGAGCAAGCAATGCTCTTAACCTCTGAGCCATCTCTCCAGCCCAATAAACCCAATGGATGAACTTTTTTTTTTTTTAATTTCATGTGCATCGGTGTTTCGCCTACATGTATGCCTATGATGGTGCCAGATCCTCTGGAACTTGAGTTACGGACAGCTGCCACGTGGGTGCTCAGAATTGAACCCAGGTCCTCTGGAAGAACAGCAAATGCTCTTAACCGCTAAGCCATTTAAATAATTCCCTTCAAAACAGTCTCCTCTACAATTCAGATCTGGGACAATCTAGAGTCTGCCTGACTATAGGCAAGGGGAAGGTACCCAGGAGCCTCCAGCTCTAACCCAGGGATAGGCTGTGCCTTGGTCATGAAGTCTTCAGGCATACAGGTATCAGTGGTCCATCCACAGCTGCCAACTCTGGGGAAGCAAAAAGGACTCACTAGAAGAAGGTGGCAGAAGGACCAGGGAGCTAGGAACACCATCATTCTAGAAAAGTCTGCTCAGTACTGTACCCTACCTACAATACCCCCTGCCCACCCAGGCTTCATTTTTTTTTTTTTTTTAATTAAGTGTACATGGGTGAGTCTTTGGGTAGAAATGTAGAGGGTCAGATCCCTTAAACTAACTGAACTCTGGTCATTTGCAAGAACAGTATTCAGTATTAATCACTGAGTCATCTCTCCAGGCCTAGGCCTCAGTTCTGACAGTCTAGTTACATATCTGCCACAAATGCTAGAAACCCAAAACCAGGGTCTTCCGCTTACCTGCTCATACCTAATGGGATGAGGGGGCCATCAAAGGGAGCTAAGAGGGCATTACTAGGAAAAAAGTGGGATCCAAGGCAGTCATTTTCTCCCAGAGTTTTCTTTCTTGTAAGAGCTCTTTAGTTTGCCTACCAGTGGCTTCAAAGCTTCCACCACCTACTTCGCAGGAAAATACACATACCAAAAAGTTTAGTGAAAAAGGAATCTTTAGGAAACTGTTTGTGAGGCCAGGGAGATGGTTCAGTCAGCAAAATGCTCCTCACACAATCATGAGGACCTGAGTTCAGATCTCTAGCACCCACAGCAGTGAGCACCTAAAATCCCAGCACTACGATTCTGAGGCAGAAACAAGCATATTCCTAGAACTCCCAAGCCAGCTGGCCTACTCAGTCAGTCAGGTTCAGTGAGAGGCCCTATCTGTCTCAAAAACTAAGGTGGGAAAATGGCTGAGGAACGTCAAACTCTGCTCTCCAAATAGGAACACACACAGAGCTCTCAAGCTATGTGGGCCTGGGTGCTATGTCCCAACAAGACCTATTTGGTCACACAGTCCAATAGAAACAATATCATTCCTTACGACTCGACTCTAGTCAAGTTCTTGGCTCAGCTGGAAAATTTGGCCCAGGCCCTTAGGCTAGCACTGCTCCTCCACTGGGAAATTCATGGCAAACATTGCCCTCACCACCAAGGTTGCCCTGCTGTGGCCTGGTCTGCTTGGGGGTCTCCATTCTTCATCACCACCCACTGGAACAGAGCAGGAACTGACCCTCCTGGGTCCCCTACCTTCCTTCCCACTTCCCTGTTACTGGACAACCTTGAAGGCCCCTGTGTACAAGCTAATTCTAGTGCATTCTCCTCACGGTAGAGCAAAGGAATGGAAAGCCAAACAGGAAGCTTGCTTAAATAAGGAGGCGACAATCCCTGCCTCAGAGCTAGGACATTTCAAAGCTCCCCCAGCCAGTGAAGCAGTCTCTATGCCAGCCCCATTCTGTACCCAGGGCCTGTCACTGTGACATGGTAAATATGTCACAGGACATAGGGAGGACTTGAGACAGTGTGCTGCCATCTCAGCTATGATGAGGGAAGGAAGGGAAGAGAGCCAGGGTGCCTCATGAAGTGACCAGACCACTGGCTCGCCAAATCCTTTCTTAGAAAAGCTACCCTGCCCCTACCCCACCTCCACCCCAGCCCCACACTCTGGTACAACCCAAGGCAGGTGACTTAACTGCAACAGTGAGATCTTCAACTTATTCCCAAACAGCTGACAGCACCATCTGGGTCCCTGTCATCTTGTGCATCCAACCCCAGGCTGCTGCCAGGCAACTCAAGTATAGCTGGGAGATGAAGGGCAATAAACGGAACTGGAGTTGGGGACTCTTGTGTGTCCTGGGGACTTCTAGCACCACAAAGGCACAGTGCAGGAACCCTGCAGCCCTGAGACTGTGTGAATCTAAGGCCCTACCTCCATGTGCAACCTGGTCACCCGCCACTTCCAAAGTCTCCCTCCTATTTAAAACTGAGGCTAGGGGGGCTAGGTTGGCTGTGGAGATCCTAGGAGACACCTCTGGTTATCTGCTACAGGCAATCTACCTGTCACCCTGCAACAGGACATGGAGGGAGCTGTGGAGAATGCAGCCCAGCCCACAGAAGACTTGTTGGTCCCAGAGCACCGGTTCAGCATCCACAGTCCCTCCTGGCATACTCTGCAACCCTGTTTAGAAAATGAATAGACCAGCCAGGCAGTAGTGCTGCACACTTTTAATCCCACCTGGGAAGCAGAGGCAGAGGGATCACATTGAGTTCCACGACAGCCAGGTAGAAGCCAGCCTGGTCTACAGAGTGAGTTCCAGGACAGCTAGGACTATTACACAGAGAAATGGAAGAAAAGAAGGGAGGGAGGGAGGGAGGGAGGGAGGGAGGGAGGGAGGGAGGGAGGGAGGGAGGGAGGGAGGGAGGGAGGGAGGCAGGGAGGGAGGAAAATGGATAGGCCACAGACTGTGTGACAAAAATACTTACCTCCCAACCTGGACTGAGGCACAGGCGCCCCCTGGTGGAACTGAGTGGCCATGCATGTGGCCTAGGACAAAGAAGGCATTCAACACTTCAAGAAACAGTTAAGGAAAACCAGAGAAGAAAATGCTAGAAAGAGCGGGCCCTAGGGAGAAGTGGAGTGGGCAGGGAAATCAAGAGGTGGCCATAGACCGAAGGTGCTCTATAGACCAAGACTGCAGAAGTCACTGCCCCACAAGGAGCCGCATCTGCTCTCAAACTCAGAGCCACCACACACCAAGGAACTCATCAATGTTTATTATGGCAATTATACAAACAAACAGGCGGTCATTCATCCAGTTCAGCAGCAGTCGACCACAGACTCCATTAGTGATTCCTTTTTATAAATAACTTTGGAGAAGCAAGCAGAGTTGGTAATGCACCTGTGGGCAGTGGCCTGTGGGCAGGGTGGCACCAGAAGATGGGGTTCTTCCTTAACCCCCAGCACCTTGGCCCACCAGAGGCTGCGTACCCAGACAGGGGATGTTTCAAGGCACATACAACTTCCTAACACACGCCAGCTCCACGGTCCACCCTGAGACCTGGTTCACATCTGGACCAGCCATACTGATGCATCATCTGCTGCAACCCCTTTGATATAGTGTAGTCACTTTTATTACTAAACAGGCTTTGGCCCCACCAAGTGCTGGGGCTATGTTCACAATCCCTGCCCTTTACACTCTGGAGATGAGAGAGTGTAGAGAAACCAACCCCAATGTAGTGATGATGTCCAGGAGCACCACTGGGATGTTCTGTGAGGGCAGGTCTCTTACCTGTCTTGCAGGGATGCTAGGGGCAGGAAGGAATTACACAAGGATAGAGGGGCTGCTAACGAATGAGATTCAAGGCACTAAAGGAATGGAGGGATGGGTGAACCTCAGAAAAAGTCAGCCAGAAGTGGAGGATCCCAGGAGTAGAAGGCGGCTGGGAGGTACCCCGGGTCCTCCACTCCAGTCAGGGGCTCCAGGGTGACCCCTAGGACATACAAGTGAGGCCTGGGTTTCCCTTGGCAACCCCAGCTCTCTTTCCATAGCAACGCTGCTGCTGTGGTTCCAACCAGCACACAGAACACACTTGCCTGACATTGGCACAGCAACTACATTATGGCTTTTAGGACTCAAAGTCCCTGTTTTTCCTGTTACTTTGACCCAACTGTGGTAAATGAGATAGACCATCCTCAAATGGACAGAGCTGCATCCCTTGGCATTTGGCACCGCACGAAACATGCCAAGTTCCAAGGGAGACTCTGTTGTTGTCACCATCACTCTGCACTGGTTCAGATGTCAGGGAGCAAGCTAGCTGTGCACAGACATGAACACACTTGCTCATGCAAACACAGGAGAGCCCTGAGCTCCCACCAGGCTACCTCAGGATGTACTGAGCTGGTCCCTGGCAGAAGGAGCTCCCAGAAGGACCCACGCTGCAAGGTCCAGGGCCTTTTAGGGGGCCTGTGTGTCCCAACTCTGAGAGAGCATCAGCCCCACTTCCAGTGTCAACCTCGAATCTCAGCAGATGGAGGCCAGAGACTATGATGCAGATGGAAGGAAGGAGGTGACAGGGACCAGGGCTAGTACCTAGGCCACGCAGGTCCTGGGGGGTGAAAGCCATAGGGAGGGGTTGGCCCAGAAGGATATGGAGGTTGAGGGGGCACTGGAGGCTGT